CTCCATGTGCCGGCTCTGCCCCGCGGGCGGCGGCTCCGCGCCCGGTCCCTCCCCTGCCGTTCCCGCCCTCCGCACCCGCGCACGCCGCCGCCCCCGCCCCGCAGGTACCACCGACAGGGACGGCGGCGGGCGGCCCCCGACCGGGCTTTTTTTTTTTTTTTTTTTTTTTCCGAGTCAGGGGACGCCGGGGAGGGTGCGGGCTCCGCGCCGCCCCGCCGGGCGCTGTTGGGACCGGGCTGATGCGGCGGCGGGGCTGCGAGGTCTCCCGGCAGGCAGCGCCCGGGGCCGGCGGCGGGGCTGGGTGTCACACGCCGTGGGATGCAGACATCCACCTGTACCGCCTCGGAGCTGAGGTTAAAGGGGTCGGATCGTCCTCCTTTACCTCAGCCCGGCCATTGGCAGCCCGTGCAAAACGTGTCCCACGCTTTTTAAGCGCTCGGATGTAACGCCGCAGGACCGGAGCTAAAGTAACTTACTGAAAAGGGGTACAGGGACGGGCACCGAAAGCCGGCCCTTACACTGCAGTCCGGGGGGCACGGTGAACCTGACAGAAGTTAGTTGAGTGATTAAGAATTAAGCGCATATACACACTGTGAAGGGTTAGGATCTTATTTTTGCTGTGCTTCAGTTCCTCATCTGCAAGATGAGGATAATAATACTTCCTTTCTCACATCCTATCTCTATCTGTGCTCTCATATTACAAAAAAAATTAGGCATAACTTTATGCATGTGAGTAATCTGATTGAGTTAGAAGAGACAGTTCAGAGACACAAAGTTAAGCAAGCATGTAAGCATTGGAAAGATCAGGGCCTTATAACGCAAGCTCTTTGGAACAGAAATCATCTACTACTAACTAAAAGTTTATACTGTACAACAAAATGAGGTCTCCAATGCTAAGTTGGGCTTCTTTTAGAACAGAAATGGTGAGACCGTACCTGGGGATTTATTTCAGGCACTGCTTCCCTTGGAGAAGCTCTGCAGATGTGACTGCTCTGTGCTTTACAAACTAGGACAATACCTCGGTATGTTCAAAATGAACCAGGTATACCCAGTGCTTCTCAATGTATTTTTCTAATTGCATCTTTACAGAGATGCAGAACCCTTCTTTTACTACAACTTATAAGCAAACATTATAGATCTGATGGGATTGAAACCCAGAGACAGTTCTCCTGTTATCTATTCCAGAATACTCCCATGTCTTCCAGCAGGTTTGCACACAGGGAAACACAAGCATTTGATCAGTGGAATCCCACTGTGGCAAAAGAGAGAGAGAGAAGGAAAGAAGGAAAGAAGGAAAGAGGGAGAGAAAGAGAGAAAGAGAGAGAGAGAGAGAGAGAGAAAGAAAGCAAGAAAGAAAGCAAGAAAGCAAGAAAGAGAAAGAAGGAAAGATCCACAAAAAGGTGCCACCATACGCTTAGCAGCTTATACCTTTTTTGCAGGAAATCCCAGAAAGCTCTGCCTCAGTGAGATGGGGAAATACAGGCAGGGAGAGCTTCACCAAGCACCCTCTTGAAAAGCAGAAGCTGGTGAAGTCAAGGGAACACAGCAACCTTCCAGATATATATGCATCCACATATTCTGAATAAAAGGACCGACACTCCACCGAGGAACGGTGCTTTCAGGAGGTGTTTGCTGCTCTCCTGTGCTCCAGCTGCCGCAGGGCCCACAAGCCAGCGGCTCCAAGAGTGCTCCAGCCTACCAGGGGGAGCTGATTTGGCACGTATTTTTAAAGCCAGATTTAAGATTCACGCTATGCAAGCCATGATTTCTCATTAAACATTTGATAAGGGTTGCTGGACATGTGTGAGCTGAGCCTGATGAAGTCAAATCTTGTGAGATGTTAAACATCTGCAAGTCGCTGTGCTGAGGCTTGTTAACAGCTCATAGGGGTTCTCAGGGCTTAGAAGATGTTGTGAAGGTCTTTTTATGGCTGATGCCCTTGAGAATTGCTAGTGATATAGTCACAGCAGCACTGAGCTTACTGCTGGCAGCCTGCTCTCATGTGCAGCAAGTTTCTTGCTGGGGCAGCAGCAGTGGGTGGTCTGAAGAGAGCTCCACTGTCCCAGTGTTTACCAAGGCTAGCGCTAGTTCAAGCAGACCTGTTAAGGTATAGCTGCAGGTATACACTTAGGCACTGGCCTGAGGAGCCAGATTCTACTATCCTTTTCTTGCAGTGTTTCCACTGACATTACTGGGAATTTTGGATGAGCCAAAGTGGATTGTAAATAATATAACGTAACATAATGTATAGCAAAAAATCCGAAGTGGTCTTGCAGTTGTCTAATTCATTGCCAGTTAAATCTTAGCTCAAACTAAATCTACTAAAGAAACCTTTCCTTTGCTAACAGGTTTATTGTGGGAAGCATCTAACAAGGCTGTACGAGGAATGGTTTCTTTCAGATTCATTCTTAAATGCAAATAGTAATTGTTATTGCAGGGGGTACAATGTTTCTACGGCTGTGTGTTACCATTTTCCATTTATAGCTTTCTACAGCAGTCTTACCAATCCGAATCCTCAAAACGGACAGCATGCCACATTCATGCTGCTTCAATCCATTACTAGGCAGGTAATGATCATTAAATACAAAAATACAACAGAAAAGTTTTGCAAATTGAGAATCAATGAGCATGCATATGCTGGAATGCAGCAGGCAGGTGCTCCTCTTGCCTTTCTACCACAAGATTTATGTTTTAGTCCTAATTCTTCAGAGAATGGCCAGGCCACAATGTCTGGAGGGTTTGCTTGCAGACTTGTGAACTTGCTGGGTGAGTAGTTCTCATTCAGTTTGGAAAATGGAAGTTCTGATCAAGATGAAGACGGTGAAGATCTATCAGCTGAAGCACGGTATATTTCCAGAAGCACAAAAGGGTAATAAATGTTGTTTTGTACTGCCATAAAGCTCCTCCCCTTCCCTCACCATGATTTCTACTATAATACTGTGTGACCAGCTTTGTTTCACAATCCTTGTCATACCTAGTCCCCCTGCTCTGAGAAGTCACCCCCATCCCCACAGTGCTATTTTGCTCTCAGATGGCTCTTCATACTTGGCAATGCCAGAAGTGCTTAAGAAAATGTCATGGACCTCACACTAAACAGTTGATTGGCAACTATTTGAATATAACATAGGAAATACAGATCACTGTTCCCATACCACGTGTCTAACATTTAATAGATCTTCCTTTGCTTATAATTTTTGATCCACTAAACTGCAGTCTCAGATTTTTTTACTTCAGAGAAGAACTCTGTCACCTTTTAGCAAAGCTTGAACGCTATTACCTCAATAGCGTCTCAAAAGTCCATAGTTTCCTCTCCTTACACATTATGGGAAATTCTGATGTATAAATACAAAATATCACCACCAAAATCATCTTTCTATATCATCAGTCTATTCATGTAATTTTCCTCTTTGCATTGCTGTGCTGACTCCTCAGCCACTATTGCAACATATTTATTACTCACCTCTCTCCTAACTTGCATTGGCTTCCCACTGTCCTTTACTTGATCTCTCCCATCATTCTCGTTTCTCATTTACATATAAGCATTTCAGGCAATTGCCTCTAGGTGGTTTTCCCATGTAAGTTTTCTCTACTGACTGACCTCCTTGAACTCAACTATAAGTCCCTTGCTCTCTCCAGTCTGTGTATTTTCCGCTGAATTTTACATTACTACTGGTTTTGAGTCACCTGTGTACAATTAGAAAGCTCCCCTTGTTGTTTTCTCTACTTAAGTCTCTCAATTCTTTCTGAGTTCTTTACCTAGAAGCCAGAGAAACTCCAAGTGCCTTATGGACACTACGACAAACACAAGGTAAATAATTGTCATGATAATGCAAGGAAATGTGGATGACAGCTGATCAGATATGTGAGATTTTAATCCATTTGTAGGTGAAAGGAGAGAGAAAAATAACAGTTTGTCATGAGTGTCTATTAACTTCTTTCCACTTTAGGAAAAGTAAATGAAAAGAGAGGTTTTTAGTTTTTTGAAAGAGGTAGAAGAATATTTTACAGTAAGGGGATGTAATAGGCTGAATATGAACGCAGACTTTTTTTGGCATCAAGGACAGGTACATATATATGACCAGTGACTGACCGACTAGAGCGGAACTGTCAAGTCGAATGAAATTTGCTGTTCAGCAAGGAGCATCTCAAGTTTATATGTATGTACGATTTTAGTGGATTTTAATGCTCTGGTTATGGGTATACACATGCACACACACATGTACACATGCACAAAACACTTGGGAAGAGGCGTACCGAAGACATCATCAGTCCCACACATTGTATCAGATCACTGGTTGAAAAGTGTCTCTTCCAAAAGTTGCTGCTCACAATCACGTCTGGACCAAAGATAAACACGCACCCAGAACAAATCCAG